GATACAGCGAAGTCCTGGAAAAGGTCTTGTAGCGAGCTCAAACTGAGCACTGCCGCCCCCAGTTTGGACAATTCAATCACAAACACCTGTCAATGGTTCAAAGTGAGAAAGAAAACATATGTTCATGTACGTTAATAAATGTTCATCACTGTCCTTAGATCCAGGACTGAGGCTGTAGACCCAGGACTGAGGCTGTAGATCCAGGACTGAGGCTGTAGATCCAGGACTGAGGCTGTAGATCCAGGACTGAGGCTGTAGATCCAGGACTGAGGCTGTAGATCCAGGACTGAGGCTGTAGATCCAGGACTGAGGCTGTAGATCCAGGACTGAGGCTGTAGATCCAGGACTGAGGCTGTAGATCCAGGACTGAGGCTGTAGACCCAGGACTGAAGAGGCTCCAAGACCGTAGGCAACTAGATCAAAGAGACTGTTCCATAAATCTATATTATTGTTCTACCCTCCTCGTCTTCTCAAAGGACTTTATATAAACAGTTGATTTCCAAAACATTTTCTCTTCTGTCTTTCTTCTGATCATGTTTCAAAATATGTGAAGATTTTGTACCATTTGATTCTTACAGTAGTTCACAGAGAAACTTTTCATCAAAACATTTGACTGAGTTGCTGTTTGAGATGCTGTCCCTGTTTTTATGAGCAGAAGGCGAGTGTCCGTCGATTGTTTTCAGGCACAGCTGAGCTCCGGAGGGAAAGCGTCGGCCTTGTCACCGCCACAGATTGAAAACTCAGCTCCGTCAAACAGCATCAGTTATGGAGAAGGAAGCGCAGGAAACGCTCCGTCTGGACAATGATAACGCACAGGGAAAATGTACTTGAACCATTTGATCTGAGTCGTGGATGTGGGCAGAACGGCCAAATGGCAAACATAAGAAACAAATATTGTTTAGTCTAGAGATTATTTAATGACAAAAGTATTCGCTCACACCGCTCTCTCCAGGCCCTCGCTCACGTCTCTCTCTCCAAGCCCTCGCTCACGCCGCTCTCTCCAAGCCCTCGCTCACGCCGCTCTCTCCAAGCCCTCGCTCACGTCTCTCTCTCCAGGCCCTCGCTCACAGCGCTCTCTCCAAGCCCTCGCTCACGTCTCTCTCTCCAGGCCCTCGCTCACGTCTCTCTCTCCGTGGCCCTCGCTCACACCGCTCTCTCCAAGCCCTCGCTCACGTCTCTCTCTCCGTGGCCCTCGCTCACGCCGCTCTCTCCAGGCCCTCGCTCACACCGCTTTCTCCAAGCCCTCGCTCACGCCGCTCTCTCCAAGCCCTCGCTCACGCCGCTCTCTCCAAGCCCTCGCTCACGTCTCTCTCTCCAGGCCCTCGCTCACGCCGCTCTCTCCAGGCCCTCGCTCACGCCGCTCTCTCCAAGCCCTCGCTCACAGCGCTCTCTCCAAGCCCTCGCTCACGTCTCTCTCTCCAAGCCCTCGCTCACGCCGCTCTCTCCAAGCCCTCGCTCACGCCGCTCTCTCCAAGCCCTCGCTCACGTCTCTCTCTCCAGGCCCTCGCTCACGCCGCTCTCTCCAGGCCCTCGCTCACGCCGCTCTCTCCAAGCCCTCGCTCACAGCGCTCTCTCCAAGCCCTCGCTCACGTCTCTCTCTCCAGGCCCTCGCTCACACCGCTCTCTCTAAGCCCTCGCTCACGTCTCTCTCTCTAAGCCCTCGCTCACACCGCTCTCTCCAAGCCCTCGCTCACGCCGCTCTCTCCAAGCCCTCGCTCACACCGCTCTCTCCAAGCCCTCGCTCACACCGCTCTCTCCAAGCCCTCGCTCACGCCGCTCTCTCCAAGCCCTCGCTCACGCCGCTCTCTCCAGGCCCTCGCTCACAGCGCTCTCTCCAAGCCCTCGCTCACGTCTCTCTCTCCAAGCCCTCGCTCACACCGCTCTCTCCAGGCCCTCGCTCACGTCTCTCTCTCCAAGCCCTCGCTCACGCCGCTCTCTCCAAGCCCTCGCTCACGCCGCTCTCTCCAAGCCCTCGCTCACGTCTCTCTCTCCAGGCCCTCGCTCACGCCGCTCTCTCCAGGCCCTCGCTCACGCCGCTCTCTCCAAGCCCTCGCTCACACCGCTCTCTCTAAGCCCTCGCTCACACCGCTCTCTCCAGGCCCTCGCTCACACCGCTCTCTCCAAGCCCTCGCTCACGCCGCTCTCTCCAAGCCCTCGCTCACACCGCTCTCTCCAAGCCCTCGCTCACACCGCTCTCTCCAAGCCCTCGCTCACGCCGCTCTCTCCAAGCCCTCGCTCACGCCGCTCTCTCCAGGCCCTCGCTCACAGCGCTCTCTCCAAGCCCTCGCTCACGTCTCTCTCTCCAGGCCCTCGCTCACGTCTCTCTCTCCGTGGCCCTCGCTCACACCGCTCTCTCCAAGCCCTCGCTCACGTCTCTCTCTCCGTGGCCCTCGCTCACGCCGCTCTCTCCAGGCCCTCGCTCACACCGCTTTCTCCAAGCCCTCGCTCACGCCGCTCTCTCCAAGCCCTCGCTCACGCCGCTCTCTCCAAGCCCTCGCTCACGTCTCTCTCTCCAGGCCCTCGCTCACGCCGCTCTCTCCAGGCCCTCGCTCACGCCGCTCTCTCCAAGCCCTCGCTCACAGCGCTCTCTCCAAGCCCTCGCTCACGTCTCTCTCTCCAGGCCCTCGCTCACACCGCTCTCTCTAAGCCCTCGCTCACGTCTCTCTCTCTAAGCCCTCGCTCACGTCTCTCTCTCTAAGCCCTCGCTCACACCGCTCTCTCCAAGCCCTCGCTCACGCCGCTCTCTCCAAGCCCTCGCTCACACCGCTCTCTCCAAGCCCTCGCTCACACCGCTCTCTCCAAGCCCTCGCTCACGCCGCTCTCTCCAAGCCCTCGCTCACGCCGCTCTCTCCAAGCCCTCGCTCACAGCGCTCTCTCCAAGCCCTCGCTCACGTCTCTCTCTCCAAGCCCTCCGCTCACGTCTCTCTCTCCAAGCCCTCGCTCACACCGCTCTCTCCAGGCCCTCGCTCACGTCTCTCTCTCCAAGCCCTCGCTCACGCCGCTCTCTCCAAGCCCTCGCTCACGCCGCTCTCTCCAAGCCCTCGCTCACGTCTCTCTCTCCAGGCCCTCGCTCACACCGCTCTCTCCAAGCCCTCGCTCACGCCGCTCTCTCCAAGCCCTCGCTCACGTCTCTCTCTCCAGGCCCTCGCTCACGCCGCTCTCTCCAGGCCCTCGCTCACGCCGCTCTCTCCAAGCCCTCGCTCACACCGCTCTCTCTAAGCCCTCGCTCACACCGCTCTCTCCAGGCCCTCGCTCACACCGCTCTCTCCAAGCCCTCGCTCACGCCGCTCTCTCCAAGCCCTCGCTCACACCGCTCTCTCCAAGCCCTCGCTCACACCGCTCTCTCCAAGCCCTCGCTCACGCCGCTCTCTCCAAGCCCTCGCTCACGCCGCTCTCTCCAGGCCCTCGCTCACAGCGCTCTCTCCAAGCCCTCGCTCACGTCTCTCTCTCCAAGCCCTCGCTCACGCCGCTCTCTCCAAGCCCTCGCTCACACCGCTCTCTCCAGGCCCTCGCTCACACCGCTCTCTCTAAGCCCTCGCTCACGTCTCTCTCTCCAAGCCCTCGCTCACACCGCTCTCTCTAAGCCCTCGCTCACACCGCTCTCTCCAGGGCCTCGCTCACGCCGCTCTCTCCAAGCCCTCGCTCACACCGCTCTCTCCAAGCCCTCGCTCACACCGCTCTCTCTAAGCCCTCGCTCACACCGCTCTCTCCAGGGCCTCGCTCACGTCTCTCTCTCCAGGCCCTCGCTCACGTCTCTCTCTCCGTGGCCCTCGCTCACACCGCTCTCTCCAAGCCCTCGCTCACGCCGCTCTCTCCAGGCCCTCGCTCACACCGCTTTCTCCAAGCCCTCGCTCACGCCGCTCTCTCCAAGCCCTCGCTCACGCCGCTCTCTCCAAGCCCTCGCTCACGTCTCTCTCTCCAGGCCCTCGCTCACACCGCTCTCTCCAAGCCCTCGCTCACGCCGCTCTCTCCAAGCCCTCGCTCACACCGCTCTCTCCAGGCCCTCGCTCACGTCTCTCTCTCCAAGCCCTCGCTCACGCCGCTCTCTCCAAGCCCTCGCTCACGCCGCTCTCTCCAAGCCCTCGCTCACGTCTCTCTCTCCAGGCCCTCGCTCACACCGCTCTCTCCAAGCCCTCGCTCACGCCGCTCTCTCCAAGCCCTCGCTCACGCCGCTCTCTCCAAGCCCTCGCTCACGTCTCTCTCTCCAGGCCCTCGCTCACACCGCTCTCTCCAAGCCCTCGCTCACGTCTCTCTCTCCAAGCCCTCGCTCACGTCTCTCTCTCCAAGCCCTCGCTCACACCGCTCTCTCCAAGCCCTCGCTCACACCGCTCTCTCCAAGCCCTCGCTCACGCCGCTCTCTCCAAGCCCTCGCTCACGTCTCTCTCTCCAAGCCCTCGCTCACACCGCTCTCTCCAAGCCCTCGCTCACGCCGCTCTCTCCAAGCCCTCGCTCACGCCGCTCTCTCACGCCACTCTCTCCAAGCCCTCGCTCACGCCGCTCTCTCCAGGGCCTCGCTCACGTCTCTCTCTCCAAGCCCTCGCTCACACCGCTCTCTCCAAGCCCTCGCTCACGCCGCTCTCTCCAAGCCCTCGCTCACGCCGCTCTCTCCAAGCCCTCGCTCACGCCGCTCTCTCACGTCTCTCTCTCCAAGCCCTCGCTCACACCGCTCTCTCCAAGCCCTCGCTCACGCCGCTCTCTCCAAGCCCTCGCTCACACCGCTCTCTCCAAGCCCTCGCTCACGCCGCTCTCTCCAAGCCCTCGCTCACACCGCTCTCTCCAAGCCCTCGCTCACGTCTCTCTCTCCAAGCCCTCGCTCACGTCTCTCTCTCCAAGCCCTCGCTCACACCGCTCTCTCCAAGCCCTCGCTCACGCCGCTCTCTCCAAGCCCTCGCTCACGCCGCTCTCTCCAAGCCCTCGCTCACGCCGCTCTCTCCAAGACCTCGCTCACGCCGCTCTCTCACGCCACTCTCTCCAAGCCCTCGCTCACGCCGCTCTCTCCAGGGCCTCGCTCACACCGCTCTCTCCAGGCCCTCGCTCACGCCGCTCTCTCCAAGCCCTCGCTCACACCGCTCTCTCCAAGCCCTCGCTCACGTCTCTCTCTCCAAGCCCTCGCTCACGCCGCTCTCTCCAAGCCCTCGCTCACGCCGCTCTCTCACGTCTCTCTCTCCAAGCCCTCGCTCACACCGCTCTCTCCAAGCCCTCGCTCACGCCGCTCTCTCCAAGCCCTCGCTCACACCGCTCTCTCCAAGCCCTCGCTCACGCCGCTCTCTCCAAGCCCTCGCTCACGCCGCTCTCTCCAGGGCCTCGCTCACACCGCTCTCTCCAGGCCCTCGCTCACGCCGCTCTCTCCAAGCCCTCGCTCACGCCGCTCTCTCCGTGGCCCTTGCAACAATTCCTCCGCTCTGGTTCAGAGTGAAATTCTGAATGCTTTAAATAGACCCGTTTGTGAGATTATATAATCCTTTACTCGTCCCACAGTAGAGAAATGTCAATGTCATCGTTGCACATATTACACCAGAGAAAAAGGAAATAATTGACTCAGATTAAATAAAAATAATAAGTAATACGACAATAAAAAAGAATATAATAATACACTCTGGACCTATAATTGCACTTGGTATTTACAGATGTGTATATTGTACTTTAGCAGCAGAGAATATGAGCAGAATAATTTATAGTAATAACAGCAAATAAAGTAAATGTTTGTGTTTACAGGTGGTTTCGTGCATGTGCAGAGATCCTGGGGAGCAGAAGCTTGTTGCGAGTCATTGATGTGGACGAAATGCCATGATTTAGAGACAGGACTGTTTCATCTGCGACGAGAGGACCCTGCGCAGCTACAAACACTGACACCTCCTTTTGGTTCTCCTGGACTCAGCTCCTGCAGGAGGATCAGGGAGCGGCTGCTGAGCGACTGCCACCTCCCCCCAACCCAGAAATGGATTAAGGGGAAGAAGACGGATGGATGGTTCACAGTGAAACCAAAACAGACGGAAATTCTTAATGTGGACTTTTCAGCGTAGGATGAGGCTAACTATGAGGCTATGTCAGTGCTTTCAACCAGGAACGACGGGTGTTTAACTGTTGTTTCTGAGATCACGTGGACCACACTGCAGCAGATGCTAATTCTAACGGTTACGATTAGCGTGCATTGGCTTCTACCACCTGCAGACTGAGAATGTTATGCCACGAGCTCTCATGAGAAGTATAAGGTAGAAGTAGTTTAGACTTGTATCATAACTCCAGTGAAGTGATCAGAGAAATGTCCTTGTTATGAATTTTAAAGTTTGTATGAATCTTCCAGTCGTTTCTTCTCGAGTAGTCTATTCACCCATTCACTCTGTGCCCTGGAAACTGAAGTGTCCTTCTCTCGTCTGTCTGTGCGGAGAACGACACATATCCTGCTCTTTCACAGATAAAACTCTCCACAAACAACACTCTGTGGAGAGCGCTGAAGGGCAGTGTTTCTATCTCACAGGCATCGGGCGAGGTCACAATCGTGCGTGTGCACTTGTGAGTGTGTGCGTGTGTGTGTGTGTGTCTGTGTGTGTGTGCGTGCGTGTGTGTGTCTGTGTGTGCGTGCGCGTGTGTGTGTGTGTGTCTGTGTGTGTGTGTGTGTGTGTGTGTGTCTGTGTGCGTGTGTGTGCGTGCACTTGTTTTCAACTCCTGGTGGGTTCCATAACCTGAGATTCCACTCACGTCATGGGGACTGGTTTTACGTGGTGGGGCCCGAACACCGGACCCCACTGGTCCAAGCTTAATAATCAATGGGTAATGCTTTTCTAACGGTCCTTATGCAGTCTCTGTAAAAATATGGAAAGGACCCCTGGAGGTTTACTTTCCTGAAAAAAGTGTGTTATGTGTCGGAACCCTGGTGGTGGGTTGCGGGATATCAAGGAGGGGCACACTGGGGCAATTTCAGTCCAGCAGGCTGGAGCCAATCATGGAGCAGCACAACAGAGGAAATCAGGTGTCAGGCTAGAAAAAGGTGCAAGTGTGTGGTTCATTAGGCTGCAAGAAATCACGGAGGAGCACACTGAAGCGCACGCTTACAAACCACTGGTAAGTGCTGACTACAAGTCATGACTTCAAATTGTTATATAGAATGATTACAAATTATTTGTTGTTTGTGCAGCTTAGTCAAGAGTCCCTAATTGATGAAGTCGACTCAGATTCTGACGATTTAACTGTCAAGAAGAAACCTGTAAAAAAGTATGGAAAAAGAAAAATCAAAAACACTTTTCTTCAAGACTCGGAAAGTGAGGAACCAAAGGCAAATAAGATTGTTATCATGCAGCTGCAAAAGAAGAAAAATGGGGGGCGAGTTTACAGCAAGAGACACTTCTGCCTCTACTGTTCAATGTCCTGCCACAAAATGTCCCGTCATTTGACTAGAAAACATGGAAATGAAAGTGACGTAGCCAGAGCATTGGCTCTACCTGTGAAATCTAAAGCACGTAAACTTCAGTTTGATTTGATCAGGAATAGTGGAAACCGTGAGCACAATTTTGAGGTTTTAAAGGCCGGCATTGGAACTTTAGTCCCAGCTAAACAGCCAAATTCCCCAGTTAAATCCAGTGAGTTTTTGCACTGTATAGACTGTGGGGCATTGCTTAAGCGAAAGTCGCTGTGGAGGCATGTGGCCAGGTGCCGGCTTTCACAGAAAGATGCCCAGGCTAAACCAGGCTAAACCAGGTAGAAGTAGGGTCCAGTCCCTCTGCTCCCTAGCCCAGCCTGTACCGGAGGGCATCAGCAAAAAGCTGTGGTCTTTAATTTCGGCAATGCATCAGGATGAGGTCACGGGTGTTGTCAAAGCAGAAAAGGGGATTCTGAGACTCGGAGAGCACCTGTACTTAAAACACGGGCATGATAAGACTAAGCATGATTACATTAGGCAGAAAATGAGAGAAGTCGGTAGGTTAATTAACGAAGCAAAAACCGCAGGGAAACTGAAAACAATTAAGGATTTCTTTATTCCTTCCAACTTTAACCATGTGATTGATGCAGTCAGGTCTGTGGCTGGATATGATGAGGAAACAAATCAATACAAGACTCCATCCTTGGCCCTCAAACTCGGCCATAGCCTCAGAAAGCAGATATTCTTGAATGTGACTCAAAAATGGAGCATTGTGTTGATGAACTATTTATTAAAAACCTCCAACGAAGCCGGCTGCTTTTTGAGAAGAGGTGGGACGTCTGTGTTTCTTCTGCTGCCCTACAGACCCTCCGGCAAGCCAAGTGGAACACTCCGGACCTGCTCCCTCTGACTGAGGACGTTAGAGCCATGCATGCACATATTGAGGTATGTCGACCTGAATATGTGCAAACCCTAATAAGTGAGCCAACGTCTAAGCATTGGTCTAAACTGGCAGTTTTGACTCTTTGTGAGGTCATCATTTTCAATCGAAGAAGGGAAGGTGAGGTTTCAAAGATGCCACTGACAGCCTTTACCTTAAGAAGTAAGACTGGGATCCATTCTGACATTGCTCTGGGACTGTCCCAACTTGAGAAAAAGCTGTGTCAGCATTTTCAACGCATTGAAATTAAAGGGAAAAGAAGTCGGAAAGTGCCGGTTCTTTTGACTCCTGAAATGATTGCTTCGATGGAGGTGCTGGTGGAGAACAGAAGGGCCTGTTCCATCTCTGACCATAACCCATACTTCTTTTCCCGCCCGGGCGCAGACACCCACATCAGGGGATCAGACTCCCTACGCCAGGTAGCCAAAGAATGTGGTGCGGTGCATCCAGAGATGCTATCCTCAACCAAACTTAGAAAGCACATAGCTACTATGTCTACAGTTCTCAATATGAAAGAGAATGAGATGGACATACTTGCCAACTTCCTCGGCCATGACATTCGCATCCACAGGCAATATTACAGACTACCAGAGGGGACACTGGAGCTGGCCAAAATCAGCAAAGTGTTGATGGCCATGGAGCAGGGAAGAGTGACGGAATTCGAAGGAAAGAGCCTCGACCAGATACAAATTGAGCCTGAAGGTAATTCTTGATATTATTAAAATATGTATGATTTTTTTCCCCTAAAGGCCACTTGTATTTTTATTTTCTGTGCGACAGGGAGAGCAGTAGAGATCCTCTCACAAACGGACGGGCTAAAAGAAACTTCAAGCGGAGAACCTTCAACCATTCATCCAGATGCACCCCATGGTAGTGGCAGTGCCCCTTCTGGTAAGTGTACCAGGTGGGGGATTACAGCCAGGCTGCTTGGTCCTCACCCTGGGAGTGTATATTGCTAATATATTTTTATTTCTCTCCCTAGAACGTTAGAGAAAGCCATGGTCTGCATCTGAGGTGAAGGCTGTGGAGAAGACCATGACACCTTTCATACAGACTGGAAAGGTCCCTGGGAAGTCTCACTGCCTGGCCTGCATTAATGCCTCACCAGATGACCTTAGACATCGGACATGGAGTGGCATTAAATTCTATGTCAAAAATAGAATCACTGCAATTCGAAAACAAAATCTAAAATAAAATTCCTTTAAAATAGTTGTTTGGTTTCTATTGACTGTTTTGTATTACTTAAAGTCTTGGTAAAAAAAGATTATGTCTATGGGTCCCATTCTGAACGGCCCTGTCAAAGGGACCCACCAGGTAACAAAAACGTGTATGTGTGCGTGTGCGTGTGTGTGTGATGTCACTCCTTCACCGGTCTGTAATTCTCACATGCAGCTGTTTTTGACCTCAGTCACATCTTTAGATTATGTTGTTGTTGTTGAATGAGGGAAGATTTTATTTCTTGCATATTTCTACACATTGTTGCAGAGCACTAACTTTGACTGAAAAGGTCTCGGTTTAAGATAATGACCTTGAAGTGTCGTTTTGTAAGTAAATGTACACTTCAGGATTTACAGAAGCAGCTGTTTAAAAATTAAGATGCTGAGTTCATGTGGCCGTCCAAAATGTGAGTTTAAATCTATTCTTAAAGAGCAGATGCAGGAAGGTGTTAGGGTCTAACAAAAAGGACTGATGTATGACATTTATACTTCTTTTATGGGAGTTTAAATCTTGTGACTTTCACTGTACGTCTTCTAACTCCCATGTTGTTCTTTGATGTTACCCACGGCACAAACGTAACTGTCAGAGGAGGCATTTATCTGAAAAGTCAAATCTGAGCTGCTTTCTGGTCGTGATTCATGCTCTCGTCTCCTGGTGCCACCAGCGCCCCGGTGGCACCAGGAAAGATTCACTTCAAACCTCATCTCAGCGTTCAGTCAGAGCAGCTTCCATCTGAGTCTGTGGCTCACAACAATGGCTAATTTTATCAAGAACACAACCCATTGTCAAGCATTTATTTTACCATAAACATTGATACAAGATAGATAGATACTTAATTGATCCCCGTTCAGGAGTTCAGGTGTCAAAATTGATCATTCTAAAAAATCTAACAATAGTAATAATCAGCAGCAGAGGTGGAGCCACTTGGTTCAGACCATTTTCTCTGCTCGGGTCCAAAGTAAAATGCTAAATCCATGGTTGTTGGGACAAATTTGCACCTGTTCTGCCACCCTTGCTGGGGGCCACTGTCTGCTGTCTGGTCCCTTTAACTGATCAATCTAATGTGACCTCGAGGTATAGAGGTGGGAGCTAGCTTGCTAATAGCTCTCTTGGGTCTGGGTATGCTACCTTCCAACATCATGCAGCGTCCGGCCTCTGTCCAACCTTCTCTCCTGTAAAATAACGTGTGCAATGTTTGTGTTTCCCTTCCCCTGGATTGCCACCTTAACGTGGTGGGGAAGTTTGAGTACTCGGGTGATCCTGGGAGCTATGCTGTCTGGGGCTTCATGCCCCTGGTAGGGTCTCCCATGGCAGACAGGTCTCAGGCGACGAGTCAGACGAAGAGCAGTCAGAGGCCAACATGGACAGCACGAAGAGAAGAACCGTGACGTCGCCCGGCATGGCGCAGCCGGGGCCCCACCCTGGAGCCAGGCCTGGGGTTGGGGCTCGAATGCGAGCGCCTGGTGGCCGGGCCTTAGCCCACGGGGCCCGGCCGGGCTCAGCCCGAAGGGTCGACGTGGGCAGTCCCTCCTGTGGGCCCACCACCTGCAGAGGGGTCCGTGGTGGCGTGGTGCAGAGAGGACTGGGCAGCAGTCGAAGGCGGAGACCTCGGCGACCCAGTCCACGCACCCAACATCTGGCTCTTGGGACGTGGAACGTCACCTCACTGGGGGGGAAGGAGCCCGAGCTTGTGGGGGAGGTTGAGAGATACCGACTAGAGATAGTCGGCCTCACCTCCACACACAGCTTGGGCTCTGGAACCCAACTCCTTGAGAGGGGTTGGACGCTCCACTTTTCTGGTGTTTCCCGCGGGGAGAGGCGGCGAGCTGGGGTGGCCATACTCATTGCCTCCCATCTCAGCCGCCACTTGTTGGAGTTCTCCCCGGTGAATGAGAGGGTCGCGTCCCTCCGCCTTCGGGTGGGGGACAAGTCTCTCACTGTTGTGACGGCCTACGGGCCTAACAGCAGTGTAGAGTACCCGGCCTTCTTGGAGTCCTTGGGAGGGGTACTGGACGGTGCACCGCCCGGGGACTCCGTTATTCTCCTGGGGGACTTTAACGCCCATGTGGGAAATGCCAGTGACACTTGGAGAGGGGTGAAGGGGAAGAACGGCCCTGATCTGAACCCGAGCGGTATTCAGTTGTTGGACTTCTGTGCCAGTCACAGTTTGTCCATCACGAACACCATGTTCCAGCACAAGGGTGTCCACCAGTGCACGTGGCACCAGGACACCCTAGGCCGGAGGTCGATGATCGACTTTGTTTTTTATTTGTTAAAAAAGTTTAAATTATCCAATAAATTTCGTTCCACTTCACGATTGTGTCCCACTTGTTGTTGATTTGTGACAAAAAATAAAATTTTATATCTTTATGTTTGAAGCCTGAAATGTGGCGAAATGTTGAAAGGTTCAAGGGGGCCGAATACTTTTGCAAGGCACTATATGTACCTGTCTCTCTGTGTCTATATGTACCTGTGTCTCTGTGTCTATATGTACCTGTGTCTATATGTACCTGTGTCTCTGTGTCTATATGTACCTGTGTCTGTGTCTATATGTACCTGTGTCTCTCTGTGTCTATATGTACCTGTGTCTATATGTACCTGTGTCTCTGTGTCTATATGTACCTGTGTCTCTGTGTCTATATGTACCTGTGTCTCTGTGTCTATATGTACCTGTGTCTCTGTGTCTATATGTACCTGTGTCTCTCTGTGTCTATATGTACCTGTGTCTCTGTGTCTATATGTACCTGTGTCTCTGTGTCTATATGTACCTGTGTCTCTGTGTCTATATGTACCTGTGTGTGTGTCTATATGTACCTGTGTCTCTCTGTGTCTATATGTACCTGTGTCTATATGTACCTGTGTCTCTGTGTCTACATGTACCTGTGTCTCTGTGTCTATATGTACCTGTGTCTCTGTGTCTCTCTGTGTCTATATGTACCTGTGTCTCTCTGTGTCTATATGTACCTGTGTCTCTGTGTCTATATGTACCTGTGTCTCTCTGTGTCTATATGTACCTGTGTCTCTCTGTGTCTATATGTACCTGTGTCTCTGTGTCTCACCCTGTGATAAATCCCATCCACTTTATTTATAAAGCATTTTTATAAAACATATTTCCAAAGTGCTGCAGAGCCATAACGCTGAATGCGGCCCAGCTTTACCCACACTCAGCCTCATGCGGCCCACAGATACAGTAGGTCCCATTCCGTTTTGTCGTCTTCATTCACGCTTCTCGGGAATCACGCAGCTGCGTGAAAAATAGTACATCTTATCGCCACAAGGTGGCAGGCTAAGTCCGCTTTAGCTCTGCCAGCGACTTAGACGCTCAGGTATCATACTGCGTGCAAACCTGTCTAGCCCAGAGATGCTATGTTGGCCAAATGGTTAACATTGAAGACTAGGACCTGGAGAACCCAGGTTCGATTCTTGTCTGAGGCAATTTTGGTTGCTTGTGGCAAAATTGTTTTTTCATTAAACAATTATTATATAACATCTTGTCTTTAATGTCTGAAAAAATCTAGGTGAAATTCACTAGTGTTATACGTTAAATATTGTGATATGTTTTGATAAACCGAACGTTACGTTACATCCTCCGCTCTGGCCCCGAGAGCAGCTGCTGTGACCCCCGCTCTGACAGCTCAGTGAACGCACTGCCGTCTGGGCTCCGAGCGCGGACCATAGACACGCGAACAGAACCACAGACAGGACCATAGACACCCGAACAGAACCACAGACAGGACCATAGACACGCGAACAGAACCACAGACAGACATTTACATTTACATATACGCAGACAGAACCCAGACAGGCGGAGACACGCGAGACGCGGATCATAGACACCTGGACAGAACCAGAGACACACGAAGCATAGACACTCGAGTCGGACAGGTCCATTTGTTTTATTTGTGTTTAAAGTTACCTAAGTTTCTCCTTGCATTAAAAATGCTTGGTGGTTGTGGATATTTAGACTGCGTGATTTGATAGAATAATACTGGCAATGTCTGATACATATCTAATTTTCAGTAAATTATAAAGAGAAAGAAAAAGAAGAGGAGGTCAAAATTCAAACCATTGAATATTGAAAGAATCAATACATTCTTGATTTTCGACTAATTCATGAGTGTTGTGTGTTTAATTGGTGCCTCTTTTTAATCTTCTACAACATAGTGACTAAGACAAGTGTGCCATAACAGAGTAATTCAAAATTTACATGTTATATGTGACTGTGATGATTATGTTTGGAATGTCAATCTTTAAACCTGTTTTTCTCAGAATTCTGTTTCATAAAACCATGTAAATACGCTGACTTCAGATTATGAGAACTTTTGTTACAGACATGCTATGGAGAAAAGGAAAACAGATTTGAAAAGATATTGAAAGCAGCTTTAACACTAGCACTCGCATGGGGGTGTCATTTGGCACTTATACCTATCATCCCCTCCACGGTGTCAAATGACCCCAAGGATTTTAGCTAACAAACGAAATCACCTGTGAACGGCCAACTTTGTTATGTAAATAGGGCCGTTATCACAGGCTGAGCTTCACTTTGCCATCTTAGGGGGAGGGGGAGGATCTGAATAGTTACAGTTTTTCTCCAGTGGCTTTAGTGCATTTCTCACATCACATAACATTACCATGAGCTTCAGTCAGAATGAAACATACTGTTTTATAACATTATCATGTGCTTCAGTCAGAATGAAACATACTGTTTTATAACATTATCATGAGCTTCAGTCAGAATGAAACATACTGTTTTATAACATTATCATGTGCTT